TGGCGAAGGACATTTTTTGTTAAGCAACAGATCTAGTCTTATTTCCTATATTGGCTGTATCTAATTTTCCTTTGGGACTTTGTATTTTTCTTTATTTTTGTGGTGTAAGCACTAACATATAGCGGATTCTCTTTCCAGAATGTTTTCGACAGGCTGACAATAAAGTGTGGTACACCCCGTAATTTAAAGCAATGCATACTTCTATTATGGATTATTGGATTATCAGCTTGTGGGTTTTTTAAACATCATGTATGACTGAGTGCTGGAGTAATTGGCATGCTAAATTTATGAATGACTGTTAATGAATAAACTTCGCTTTCTGAAACTGAAATAGCAAAGCTATTCCTGGACCAGAAAGGCTGGTAGATTTTTGGCCTGTAATAAATTGAACACATAGCACAAAGCGGGATAAAAAAGAGTCAGTTCTGAGCAGGAATTACTGGGTTTGGGTTGGTTTTTTTTGTTTGTCTTATTTTTTTTCTTGTTTGGAAAATGATTGCAGTATATAAACCAATTTGGTTTCAACGTCTCCCTGTAATTGAATTAGAGCATTTTCAAATGTTCTTAAACATTAATTTCAGGAAAACTAAACCTCCAGAAATACCTTTTGTATACAATAGGACACAAACACATGTAACACATATGTATGTATATACATATGTATATAATTTATAACAGTACAAAAATTTACATAAGAACCTGAAGGGGCTGGTTTACCGAGGTTTTGAATGCACAGGACTTTAATTGATGTGCTGAGAATCTGTAAGTGCTCACATGTCATTTAATGCATAAGTGTGCATCATAGAACAGGATCAACAAGACAAGTATGTATCAATTTCACTTGTTTGGGCAGTTCGGAGGAGAGCCGGACAGATGCTTTAATGCCAGGGTCATAGGAAACTCAAGCCTGGAAATGCTTTTCTTAAAAAATTTTTTACTTTCCTTTTGCCTTCTAGCTTATTTATGGACAGCATTTATGTGTTGTTTAATCTTGCTTTTTATCTCTGTGCTTCAACGTTCTTTAACTAAAGAGTTTATTGCACATATGTATGCTTCCTTTTAGCCCACTCCACTTTATTGTGCAGTACTGCTATAGGCTTGTGACTAAATAAGATGAGAAGGGATGGCTTTGGAGTATTGTGCATTGCTTTTCAGATATTGGTGGTTTTAGTTATTTCTGGAATGTCTGTCTTGGTTTGCCTAACATAAACATTAAATCCTTTATGTTCCTGTTATAATCTTGCTCTCTTTGATTTTCTGTGGAATTAGAGAAAAAGTGGTGATATCCCTATTTTTGTGCCTGAACAGACGTCAGTGTTCAAAAGGAAAGAGACTGGTAGCTAGAAAAGTCTGGCCAGTATCAGCAGGTCTGCTACTGTGATTCAGAAAATAAGAAGTATTACACCAGTGATATATGTGTAAATAATGTCTGTTCTTTCATGTTAAACTATAAGATGAGACTTTGTTAAAATATGGAAATGCAGAAGAAAGAGCCATGCAACTGAAATGAAGTCTAAGACTGATAAGCAAGTTCAGGTCATGAAAGAAGGGTGGGTTTTTTTCCCAGTTGCATATATTTGGCATCTATCACTTACTACAGCAAAATGCAAATTCAGAACAGCTTCTACCTTCCAGTATTCCCACCCACCCACCCCCCTTTAATAAAACACTGCAGAGAGAGATGGACTAGAAACAATTCTTTAAGACTACAACTGTTCTTTCTCCTACCTTAGCCTTAATGAGAAAATGAACACGTTTAAAGCAGAGTCAAAATATGGATAGTTGATAATGGATACGGTAGCAAAAAGCTCCCCACGTCCCCTTTGGGTTTCATTTGGATTCTACAAGGGAAGGATGTTGAAAAGAACATGAAAGAAAAAAGTTGGGAACGAAGGTGACTATTTGTTTGCTTTCAGTGACTTTAGACATAGCAAGCTGAGGAGATAGGGTGAGCCCTCCTTGGAAAGGCGTCCTACGACTTCTCAAGATAACACAGCTAAGCAGTGAAAACATCCCACGGAACTCACCTTAACCTGTAATCTGAGGATGGGGAGGGGGCGAGGTGGGAATATTTACCCGGGCAAATTCAAGTGCAGCATTCCCAGCCGCCACTAGTTGTCACTTTGCAACCAGCCGGGGTCGGTGTTTTCAGCACTGCGGTTAGCGAGATTGCGGTGCTAATTAAACGGAGTAACTCCCAAAGCCGCGGAAAGTCCCGAGCCCGGGGCTGTGCCATAGCCGGTCTCGGGGAACCGAGAGGAAGCGAAAAGGCAGCTCGAGAAAGGTGGAACGCCGCTGTCCTAAGGCTGAGGCTGTGTCTAGGGGCTGTGCCCTGAGCTTGGGGTGGGCACGGCAGTCCAGCCCGGCAGCGCCCAGTGCGTGCACACTCCTCCCGTAAAGCGGAGCCTTACCTGAAGAAAACGATCGTCTCCCACACGTAGACTCCGAGCGCGTTGACGTTGCACATTTTTCCAGCTCTTGCTGTTGTTTTCTTTTTTTTTTTTTTTTGTACTCCGTGAGGGGTGGGCCGGTGGGGTTGGCCAATAAAGTAACCCGGCACTTGGGGGGGATC